TCTCGACCACCCACATCTTTGGCTTCTGCGTTTGAAATGAGGTTATTCTCGACCACCCACATCTTTGGCTTCTGCGTTTGAAATGAGGTTATTCTCGACCACCCACATCTCTGGCTTCTGCGTTTGAAATGAGGTTATTCTCGACCACCCACATCTTTGGCTTCTGCGTTTGAAATGAGGTTATTCTCGACCACCCACATCTCTGGCTTCTGCGTTTGAAATGAGGTTATTCTCGACCACCCACATCTCTGGCTTCTGCGTTTGAAATGAGGTTATTCTCGACCACCCACATCTTTGGCTTCTGCGTTCGAAATGAAGTTCATTAATCTTTACAACCATCACTAGATTTACATTAATACGATTACTGAGTACGACGATGCCTTCATCGGGATCTGGGAGGATCAGGCACCTATGTTTTGTTGTACTGATAAAATGGTGAACATCACACAAAAGAGGGTGTTGATATCATTTAAATTCACTGTGTAATTTCAATACCCCTATTAGGAACATGTCCATTCATGTTCGACGTTCACCATTTGCACTGGTATATAGTTTGCTGTATTAGTCCCATATTCTCCAGTGCTTATTCATTTTGTAGCATATCTTATATGTATTGACATATATATACCCTTTTCCATACACAATGTATACACTACACAAATGATATATTAGGTACATCTAGCAGAAGGTGGCTTATAATAATACATATTTATGGGTGAGAGGTACTTAGGCTCATTTTCATCATGTATGATATAGCGATCCAGCGTGCGTAGTAATTCATTCTTACGTACGTTTTTCTGGAAATAAGTGTACGATCTGTTGAAACGTCTATTCGACTGCCTGTAATTCTGTTGGCTTTAAATGACGTGGCACTTTCTGATTGGCTTGATGACAACCACTTACAGTGTAAACAATCGACACGTGATAGTCCCGATTGCAGTTCAGTTTCACGCGATAAAAGGGTGGCATCCCCACGGTGTTTACTTTTTATGCCCCTTTTCCTCACCGCTACCATAACTATTGTCCATATTGTGCTTCCACCCCCAATCTACCACTGATGCTCCCTGAACAAACGTTAACTTGATAAAATTGAGAGAATGCTGATTGTTATAGATTTTAATATATATCGAATCTAACAGATTGTGAAATATACTTTTATTGACGTATTTAAATGTTGCAAACTAAGTAAGGAGCATGTAAAATGAAAACTAAGTAAATTGAAAGTTTTAGGTGAATGTATCACAGCAACTTACTATAGTAAACGTTTTATAAATCCAATATTATAATATTTTGTTAATTTTGCTGTTTTTCAGAGAGAAGAAATTTCGTTTGAAGCGATAATCCCATTTCCTAACAAGAAAAAACTTTATTATAGCGTTATGACGTCATCAAGTATGGGTGGTCTTTCAAACGCAACCTCTACGGCTGTATACGTCTGTATTTCTTTGTTTCTTGCGATTTTGATTGGAGTCCTCTTTTACGTTCTTTGCTCGAAACGCTACAAGTTAAACTGGTTCGAGAAATTAAATCTTACTGCTGCAGAAGAAACCGAGAAAGTTCTACCTTCAACATCTACCGAAACAGGAAGTATTAGTAGTGCAACGGAAGTGACGCAGTTGACGACAACACCTTCTAGTGTTTCCAGGTTTTTCCGGCCTCAAGGTCTGGATGGGTCACCAGGTGTCGCTTCAGGAAACTTCTGGGTTCCTTATAGCGTGCATAAAGAAGGCGCTGTGGATGAAATAGCTGCAGATTATAGCGGTAAGATAAAATTAAACAAACGTTCCTTCCTGATGACTTGCAATGGTTATTAACTTTTATTAACTATTAACCCGTGGTGGGCAGAGCACAGATAGCCTTTTGTGTAGCTTTGTGCTTAACTACAAACAAAGAAATCTTTTTATTTGTACATTTCTGTCCTTCGTGAATACCATTTTCAATAAATAACAAAGAAATCTTTTTTTTTTTCGTACATTTCCGTCCTTCGTGAATACCATTTTCAATAAATAACAAAGAAATCTTTTTCTTTGTACATTTCCGTCCTTCGTGAATACCATTTTCAATAAATAACAAAGAAATCTTTTTTTTTGTACATTTCCGTCCTTCGTGAATACCATTTTCAATAAATCTCAAAGAAATCTTTTTTTTTGTACATTTCCGTCCTTCGTGAATACCATTTTCAATAAATCTCAAAGGTATTGGATCATTTCAATTTCCTAGAACAAATAGTACATGGATATCGTGTATCAATCATACGATCGATTAATGTGAATACAAGTGAGCTAATAGACAGTCATTGAATCGTTTGATTCATTAATTGTTGTTAACTGATTAACTCTAGCCCCATTACTTCAACCCAACGTGTAATAAATCTTCGTTTACTGAACCTTAGAAAAATAACAACAAAAGCATTAATCCTATATTTACTTGAGAGAGAGCCTTCTGGCTAGCGCAGATCTGAAACTTAGTCCGTAATGTTTTATACAGATGCAGTCCGTTAAAACGCCTTTCAAATAATAATCATATAATAACTGAAATTGGAACTTTTAATATGCAGCTGCACCGGTCCTGTTCACAGATGGACGTTTCGCGAATTGCAGTTGTGAGTATCAGTCGGGCCCCAGCGTCCCAAAAATGTTAATTTGTGTGCCTTTGACCAGGTGTTACTAGCTTCTGAATAGGCTTTTCAAATAAATACGCACCTACCAATGGCATGATAAGTGAATATTTTCTCCGGAAATGTTAACATTAGAAGTTGTGGTATAATCTCACTTTCTCCCCCTCCCCCTCCAGTGGCACGACGGTATGTCTGCGAGCTTACAACGCTAGCAACCAGATTTCGGTATCCGTGGTGGGCAGAGCACAGATAGCCCATCGTGTAGCTTTGTGCTTAATAACAAACAAACACTTCTTTGGTGTTTTACGAGAGCAGCATGAAGATTAAAAGGTAAACCGAAAACTCATGATAAACGAGGTTTTTGAAAAGATGGAGTCCTCCCGGTGAGATAGCGATAAGTTACGAACTTATGACGCTAAAATCCGAGATTCAATACCCCGCGGTGGACACAGCAGATAGCCCAATATGGCTTTGCTTTAAAACAAATAAATAAACCAATTAGATAAGAACGAAATTGGAAGCAATATATTCTGAAACCAGTGTTTGCATTTATGTAAACTTCGTATACGAGTTTTTGTAGTTTGATTTCTTATTTATTGTTCTATTTTAAAACAAAAAAGTTTTTTTTTTAATCTAGAAGTTTTGTCACCAATAGTATGAGTATTTCCCATATTATCTTAAGGTGAGAGCGTTCCTGGTACTCCACTCACTCCTTTGGGAACCAAGATTTCTCCGTTTCTCCTATCTCAAACAGGATCTTCAACTGCTGAACGGGGAGTTTCACCTCTGATTAAGTACGTTCAACCATCACCACTCCCCTCAAGTCCAGTAAGATCACGGTTGACTTCCATGTATACCAAGCTGGATCACACTAAGTTTAATACCGCGATGTATCAAACAGAGGTAAGTTATTCAACCATCACCCCTCCCCTCAAGTCCAGTAAGATCACGTTTGACTTCCATGCATACCAAGCTTGATCACACTAAGTTTAATACCGCAATGCATCAAACAGAAGTAAGTTATTAAACCATTACCACTCCCCTGAAGTCTAGGAAGATCACGGTTGACGTTATGTATGCCAAACTGGATCACACTAAGTTTTATCTTGCGATATATCACGTAGAGTTAAGTGTAATGGGTTCTGATGCTCCATACGAAGAAAGAACTGAAATTCTAAACTACAAAACTAGGGAAAATAAAGGAAATAAAACTTTCAACAGTTTCAAACTGGAGCAAATACGTTATTCCAATATTTCCAAGGAAGTAAAGGGTAATATTCAAATGTAAAAAAAGTAGGAAAAATAATGTACAAGAAAAAGAGAGGGGCCGTTTTTGAAACTATATTAATTACATGTATATTAATGTGACCAAATCAGATAAATACTGTGTCAGAAAAGTACCAAACAGAAGTAGGGGAAAGGGAGGTAATTTCCTTTTGGTAAAAGAGCCACCCCCATGTATCATACTGATGGACGGACGCGAAAATAAACGAGCAAAACCTGACATATTTTTGAACAACTTTAATTTTATGTATACATTTTGAATTTTTTTATGGATACAAGGTAAATATTTGAAGATATTTCAGTTGAGTTGATTTCAAACAGTGAGTCGAATAAACCGTTTATGCTCACTTTCCAGTTGTTTTACTACAAACCAATGACTTATATTTCCGCAATAAGCTTTGACCGCAATGTACGTCATTGCCCCCACACTAATATACCCATGTTCTTTTGCGCCATTGTCCTAGATAATACGCAACTTGCGCACGGCTTCCCGATACCTGCCTGGAACACTTAAATGATGATTTAACTTATTTAAATGCAGCATCTATTTTAAATTGCAGTTGTGATGAATTATATGGGAGCCATTTTACCTCATCTTTGGGGACCGTTTTATCCAACCTTCTAAGCAAATGGCCCCAACCATAATGAATGCTTTTTCGATTTTTTAAAAAGCTCTATATGCAGTCTTTGTGTTAACTAGAAATTAAATTTGGTTGTAGGAGAATTCATATATTTTAGCGTTCCATATTCGCTGCTGACTGCAGTACCTGATGCATGTCAACTATTGAAGGTCTTACCAACCAAACAAACGACTACAAGTTCTTCTTGCTAGATATAATCCAGAAAAGAAGATGGACTTTTTACGAGGAATAATAGCTCATAACTTGCATCACTTTTAATAATTTTTATAAATGTTATTTTTATTGTTAATTATTTTTTGACACTAATAAACTATTACAGAGAGTGAAATTACCGGTCACCAATTTTATAATAAAACAGGTCTCATTTCAAAACCTTTTGATTTAAGAAGACATTCATCATAATTGGTAAAAACCGCATTCAAAGTTAAGATGGCCGTTTTATTCCATCTTCGTATAACAATGAAACCAGTGTCACTTTTTTTTTAGCAAATTGATACGAAAAAAATTTATATTCTAACATTGTTAAAGTATTAGACGTAGATAGCCTGGGATTATTATACTTGTACATTGAGATTAATATTTAAACAATGAAAATGAGGAATAAAATAACACAACGTACACGTTTTCACCTTCTTAGTTAGGAAGAATGACGCTTCAAAGTGCCGTGAATTAAATATTTAATAGTAAAACCACTTATGAATGATATAAGTAACTTCACCTATACTAAAATCTTGCCCTTTAAATAATATTATCAAAATAACGTGATTTAAAATAACCTTTAAATTTTAGTGTACAACTAAAAATATCAACAAAAAAATCTTACTTAAATTGGAAATTTTGTTATGGGTGAAACTGACTTCTAAGCCAAAACTATCTTCATTATTATTATAGGAAGCAGCGTCTCCTAGCGATACAAATAATGACAACTCAAGAGGTTCACTTCAATTTTCTGTGGTTTACAACACACAATTTTCTTTGCTGTGTGTTCGACTAATCCAGATACGTGACTTAATACCAAGTGATTTTAGTGGAACGGCTGATCCTTACGCAAAGGTAAAAAAAAACACCAACAGAGAAGGAAAGAAACAGAAAGCTTAAATGTAAAAGGTCAATAATGTATCCCGAAAAGACAATTTCGCCAATTTTGATGAAAATATAAAATTTCGAACATACTTTATAAGAAAGAAAACCTCAAAGAAAGAAATAATAATATAGATAATGATGTGTATAAAACGTAGGTTAAACTAAGAGTTTCAAAGTGGAAGTTAGGCCTATGGATTCATATTGAAAATAAAGTGATACATCTTTGTTGGCTAAATAATAATATACATAATGATGTGTATAAAACGTAGTTTAAACTAAGAGTTTCAAAGTGGAAGTTAGGCTTGTGGATTCATATTGAAAATAAAGTGATACATCTTTATTGGCTAAATAATAATATACATAATGATGTGTATAAAACGTAGTTTTAACTAAGAGTTTCAAAGTGGAAGTTAGACCTATGGATTCATATTGAAAATAAAGTAATACATCAATGTTGGCTATATAATAATATACATAATGATGTGTATAAAACGTAGTTTTAACTAAGAGTTTCAAAGTGGAAGTTAGGCTTGTGGATTCATATTGAAAATAAAGTGATACATCTTTATTGGCTAAATAATAATATACGTAATGATGTGTATAAAACGTAATTTAAACTAAGAGTTTCAATGCCGAAAGTGGAAGTTAGACCTATGGATTCATATTGAAAATAAAGTGATACATCTTTGTTGGCTAAATCGGAACAACATCGGTTTTGGTATTCCTGTACCTGCACTTTTCGTTGATACATTAATAGCATGTAATCCTTTATTAATTCGCCTTGTCTGTTTGTAATTTAGTTGCTTGTTTTTTGCTATCCAGATCAAACTCGGCGAGTGGACTTGAGGTCGCCTGTTTTTTGTTGTTTTTTTTTTTCTGTATGGAGTACCCCTTCTATTACAATATCCATTATTAGCTAAGATTTTATGCTATTCTAATTGGTATAACATAAACAAAAAGTAGTATAATAAAATTTTGAATGTAAGACACTAAAACCTTGTGTCATGCGCAGTAAACGGTACACGGAGCGATAGGGTTAATGGGGTAACAAAGAGGCTAAAACGCGCCCAAAAGGTCACTCGGCATGATAGTGTGTATAGGAATGGGTTTTTGGGTCAATGACCCCGAATATTGCATCGAAATTTGTGTTCCTAGCCCCTCTTTGGGCTCTAAGCGATACCACGTTTGAAACTGTATTCATACCCTTCTCACGATCTAGTGGGACCAAACGTGACATTCGTGCTCAGATACCACAGGTACGTAATTTAATGATGTTCATTTTCGCACATGAACCCCTTGGGGTAGCTAAAGAAGTAACTGGGGTAATTGAAGAGCTTTATCAGTACGTTGGAGCTCCGCAGCGGAACGCGGGTACTTTATAGATACGCGAATGTAATGTGATCATTGACGTTTTTTACATTAAACTAATTATTGTTATAGTTTTTATATTATAAGTATTGGATGATGTATTAACAAAAAGATATGCCAGCTTCTCTTGAAAGATAAACCTGTAAAACATCTTGTTGAGAAAAATAAAAGATATGCTAGCATCTCTTGAAAGATATACCTGCTGTAAATCCTGTAAAACATCTTGTTGAGAAAAATAAAAGATATGCTAGCATCTCTTGAAAGATATACCTGCTGTAAATCCTGTAAAACATCTTGTTGAGAAAAATAAAAGATATGCTAGCATCTCTTGAAAGATATACCTGCTGTAAATCTTGTAAAACATTTTGTTGAGAAAAATAAAAGATATGCTAGCATCTCTTGAAAGATATACCTGCTGTAAATCCTGTAAAACATCTTGTTGAGAAAAATAAAAGCGAGTGTTTGTTTGTAGTTAAGCACAAAACTACACAATGGGCTATCTGTGCTGTGCACACCACGAGTATTGAAAGCCGGTTTCTGGCATCATAAGTCCACAGACTTACCGCTAGGGTCAAAAGAAAAGGGAAGCAACGGTATACAGTTGCAGAAATCAATGTATTTTTATTTTCTATTATGTTTAAGTTTTCTGACTTGCTTAAAACTTAAATTTTTGCAAATCACACGGATTGGTTTTAAGAAAAAGTAGCCCACTAGTTAAAATATTCTGAATCATGTAGTTCCTGTAAAAAAATAAAAATAAAAAAAGAACATTTATTCTTTTATATCGCTTGCACTACCAAAGGCGATAAACGCTTATTCTAGTTCCTGGTTGTTTGGAAAATGCTCAGTTCTGATTACTACACAGTGATATTTGCTATTATAAACATTTATTCTAGTTCCTGGTTGTTTGGAAAATGCTCAGTTCTGATTACTACACAGCGATATTTGCTATTATAAACACTTATTCTTGTTCCTGGTTGTTCGGAAAGTGCTCAGTTCTGATTACTACACAGCGATATTTGCTATTATAAACACTTATTCTTGTTCCTGGTTGTTTGGAAAATGCTCAGTTCTGATTACTACACAGCGATATTTGCTATTATA